TTACTATATTATATTATAATATTTTTATTGTATATTATATTATATTAGATTACATATTACAATATATAACTACTATATAATACATTTTAATTATATTATAATATTAAAGGGTAATTATGAGAAAAAAATTAAAAAAATAACTTGGAATGGCTATTCCTCTCATATGAGGAATGAATGAAAATGGGTGAATGACCATTTGTTTAGAATGACTATTCCTTTCTTATAAATCCAATCAAACTTTAAAATTTCATTTCATTTTATTCATTTCTTATAAATCCAACCAAACTTTAATTTCATTTCATTATATTCATTTTATTTCCACCCAACCAAACACACCCTCAGGTCAGAAAATTGAAGACTTTTCTTATACCTTACCCATTTAGCCAATAAAAAAAGAAAAAATGCAGCCTATAGCATATTTTGAGATCATGTTTGAAGTTAGCATATTTTTTAAACATGTTAAGTTAATAGCATAATTAAAATCAAGTAGGATTATAATTATTTGTTTTTCTAAATTTACCCCTCCATCTTTTGTTTTTTTTTCTTTTTTCTTTTTTCTTTTTTCTTTTTTCTTTTTTCTTTATTCTTTTACGTTTTCTTCTCAGTTATCTCTCTCTCTCCTCTCATTTTTCATTCTCCTCTCTCTCTCTCACTAGCTCCGACCATATCTCAAACACAGACGATGAGATCTCCTTTGGCAATAACGATCTCCGACAAGATCTCCTCCGATGTCTCTCTCTCTCTCTCTCTCTCCCTTCGTTTCTCTCTCCTCTCTCTCTCTCTCTCTCTCCCAGTGGTTCGAGAATCTCTCTCGTCGCGATTTCTGTCCATCGTGACTCCCTTCGTCTTCGCCTCTGAGAGAACGACGTTCGAAGACGACAGAAAAGGAGATCGCGAGTTCTCTTGGTTCTGGAGATCGCCAAATCGTGAGATTGAGATTATCCCCATTTTTTCTGGTTTTGTTGCCTTTTTTCTGGTTTTGTGGCTTTTGTTTGCACATTTGAGTTGGGAATGGGTTAGTGTTAGGCTGATTTGGGGATTTTTTGGGGCTGGAAAAAGGGCTGGGATTAGGATTTATGATTTTGATTTGGTACAGATTTACCGACTTTGGGATGAAATTGTAATATTAGTTAATTTGTAGAAGTTTTTGTAATTCTAGGAATTTCTTCAAGATTTTTATAAGATTGAAAATAATTAAGTATTTACTGATAAATACAGTATTTATCGATAAATACAGTGTTAAACGGTCACTGAAGGTGGTAGCAGAATTTTTAGATAAATAAAATATTTATTAGTAAATACGATATTTATCGATAAAAACAGTATTTATCAGTCGTCGGAACCGGTCGCAAATTTTTCATATAAATATGATAAATATGGTATTTACTAGTAAATAGAATATTTATCAGTAAATACGGTATTTATCGGTCGCTAAAGTCAGTCGCGTAATTTTCAAATAAATATGGTAAATACCGTATTTATTAATAAATTTGGTATTTATCGGTAAATACCATATTTACTTAGTTGCCAAATTTTTAGATTAATATAATAAAATGATATTTACTAGTTAACACAGTATTTATTACTTGCCAGAGACAATTGCCAAAAAATAGCCGTCAGAGATGATCGCCAAAGCTGGCTACCGGTCGCCAGAGCCCGCCATTATGAACTTGACTGTAGGGAGAAAAAGACTAAAGGGTATTTTTATATTTTTAATAATATTTAAAACTTGAATTATCAAATTATGTTATAATCTATTAGTTTTAAAAAATATGTTATAATTTACTAAACATACTACTAAATATGTTATTTCCTTCCTCATCTCATAGAAAAATATTGTGACAAATTAAATATAAAATTGATCAACGTAGCATTAATATCTTTTAAATTTATAAAATTGTTAAGGTTTTTTAAGATGGCAAAATAGTAAAATACTTTTAATTTTTTTAAACTCGTATTTTTTTAAGTACTATTATAATATATAATATATATTTGTGTTAAAAATATTTTTAAAAACATATGCATATGTATATCAGGGTGAGACGGAGTGGGGTCGCTTCCGATTCGAAGGATAATATAAACTATCATACCCGTTTCATTCTCCATTTAATAATCCTATACCCGTTATATTTAGAGTGGGTGCCCACGAGTACCTATATCTGTGAGTAAAATGCTCATCCTTAATAGTATAATTACTTATAAAAAAATTCATTCGATTAATGAACAAATTCAAGGAATTCATCTCGTCACTAATAAATAATGTTTTTTTATGAAATTAGTAAAAAAAAAAATCATTTTTTTCTTTATCTAATGCGGGCTTATTTGGGAGAGTTTTGTGTTTCTGTTTTCAAGCAGAATTAGCATTTAGATAGCACATGGAAAAGAGCCTTTTTTTTGTTTTAAGAGAACTTTTGAATATGTTTGGTATATAAGTTAAAAACTCTTACATAAAAGGTAATGTATTACTTAGATATGGATAGAATTTTTAATTTTTTGATCAGCAACAAAAGGTGTAAAAAAAGGACTTTTTATAAGCTTTTTTTTTTTTCTCAAAAACATCTAGGGATGACTTGTTATAAAAGAGCTTATAAAAATAAAAAATACTTTCATATTGTTCATTCAAAAAGTTTCAAAAACAGTTTTTAGACTAAATTAGCCAAAAAATAGTTTTTTTTAAGCCAATCCAAAAAGATTTGCAATGGCGTAATTGTGTTGCTTTTGAGGGATGTATTGTAACATCTATTTTATCCTTATTTCTCAATAAAAAAAAGAAAAATAAATAAAACTAAATTCATAAATTTTCAAAAACTTTTCCAAAATTTCAGTGTTATTGACATTAAAGACGATAAATCTCCTTATCATTATAACAATGTCATTTAGGGATCTAGATGTAATTTTTTTTATTAAAAATGGGGTAAAAAAAGAGGGTTAATCACATAAGAGGCATCGAGACTAACTACAACAAATGATAATAGATTGAAAGTTTAGAAAATTAGATGCTAAG